CTACAAAAATAAAGAGGATTTTTTGATAGGATTTTTGCGATACAGTGAGATAGGACCGTGGTTGTTGATTCCAATGTAGTGAGGTTCGAAACGTTCCTTGTCGTTGGAGAAAGCAGATAGCAGCAAAGGCTACTGTTTGTTGCGCCAACACCGTCCGATGGGCTATAGGATTGACCATCAGGAAAATGCGGTGGGAAGAGCTTTTCGCGGATAAGAGGGTCAAAACGACAAGGGAAAAGTGGAGATCACGTGATCATCGCCGAAATGCCGGGGATGCGACCTTGCCGACTGCAGAGCCCACCGACAGGCTGGAGAAAAGAGGAGAACTGGCCACGATAATCACCAGAAACCGCGAAGACCAACGTCAGGGTTGCAAAACAGAGAAGGGTAGTCAACATTTGGCTGTGATGGTTGGAAAGATTAGGGGATGAAACATGGCTGCAGAGGTCGACTCTGTAGAGGATAATTTAAATATATATGGAAACCAATTCAATATGAAGGGAAACGCCTCGATTACTAGTAGGACCCTTTCCAACGTCCAAATTTTGCGTGTTTGGGAAGGAAGCGGATACTAAGATCTTTATATCTTCCGGAGTTGAATGTTGATGTAATTTGGCTTTAAAAACTGATAATATAGAGGACAAGCTAATTTCGCGTGGAATATTATTTCGAGGGAAGGCACAAATGAATGCGAAAAACGACAATGGTTAAATGTGGGACCAAGTGGTGGTGAAATTATCATGCAGGAATTACGAGGAGCATAAGGTCGATCTGTCTGATTGAGAGCGTTAATTCGTGGGAGATGAAGGTTACAGTTAACGCAAAACAGGAAGCAGAGGTCGGCTTCGAGTCTTCTAACCCACAGAAATGTAGGGTTCGCTAACTGACATCTCCTTGTATAAGAAACACTGGATCGAGGAAGAGAAAATGTTTTTTCGAGTAAAAACCCTCTGAAAATTTTAAACCTTGCGGTGGACAGAGGCGTCCCTCAGACCACGGAGGAGACAGCAGTACTCTAGGACGGGCAAAATAAACATGTGGTACAGTTTTAACTTTATTTGCAGAAGGCAAAATTTGCGTAAATGAGACTGCGTAAATTTTTTCAGCACTGTTGAACTTTCATTTATGTATAGAATGAAGCGTAGAGGACTGAGACCGTGCCTTGAAAAACGCTGCCTGTGATCGGTTGAAGCGTCAAATAACTATTACCTACTAAGAACTTCTGGCTGCGATTAGACATGTAAGAACCCATGAACTCGAGGAGAGGAGACTGGATTCCGAGGTTATCAGTTTCACCGGAAGACGTCTGTGCGGTACCTTCGCGAACGCTTTGTTAAGGTCAACGTAGATCACAACCACTGATTGCTGCTCATTACGAAGGGGAGTGACGAGCTTAAAACGGGGGAAAGGCGCGAAGCCGAAGTGCATATAGGGTGTGTTCGTTTATTCAGGTAAGCACAATTCGACCCGGGTAGCCAATTCATTTGTGCACGAGCTGTGATAAATTACGTTTTCTACTACACTTTACGAATGGAGTAATTAACTTATATATTGCGGCATGCACGTATGCCATGTGGCGATGTAGTTATCACAGGGAATTTGCAGCCAGGCGCCAGCTTAACAGGTTCCCCGACTCTAAGATATTGTGTGGGCTTTCCTAAAGATATTCATCTACTTGGACTAGGGTCTTGTTATTGTGTTTATTACATGACTCGACGCGTCTATAGACTCGGCGTATACCAGCTTTAGGGAAAAGTGCCCTTTTTGTGCCTTTGTCCCACCTACCTTTCATGTCATTTGGCGTCATTAATAAGCCAACAAAATATAACCAATTAAATAATTACACACCA